GCTGAGCAGGGAGCCCGATGTGGGGCTCGATCCCAGGACTCTGGGATCATGACCTGAGCCGAAGGCAGATGCTTAACGACTGAGCCACCCAGGTGCCCCGAAAATTATTAGGATTTTAAAAACTTGTTGTTAACTGTCTTCCAGAAAAGTTATGTTTTAATTTATTACCCTTCTAGCAGTACTTAAGAGTGCCCATTCTTCACACCCTTAACGAACCTGAGAATAACAGCTTTGAAAACTGTTTTTGCCAAATTATTTTTATTTTTATTTGCTGATTTAATATTTAAATTGGTATTTTCTTTTTCATTTAAAAAATTTTCATTTTCACTGGTGCTCTTAATTTCTCCAAGTAATCAGTCATATCTATACAATTATATTTTACCTTATTTATTTATTTGTATACCCCTTTTTTTACTCACTGTTCTGTGTTGACTAGCACTTCCAAAATAAACAGTGGTAATAATGGGCACCCTTGTCTTACTCGTGATTTTAATGAGGGCTCTTGCAGAGTGTCACCTTAAACATGATGCTTTTTGTTGGTTTGAGATACAAAATTTTTATGGTGTTAGGGAAATATTTATAGCTTACCAAGTCTTTTTATTAGAGATATTGTATTAAAAATTTTTTGCATTTAACTTTTTAATTTTAAATTCATACACAGCAAAAAGGACATTTTTGGCATATAGTTCTATAAATGTTAACACATATATAGATTCACCACCATCAGAAAGCAGAAATTTCATCAGTTCAATAAAATTTTTTGTACTGCCCGCTCTGTAGTCACACTCTACCCCCAGCCAGAGGACCTGGCATTGTTGAGCTGTTCATTGTTAAATAGTTTCCTCTTTTTGAGATTGTTATATAAATGGAATGATACAGTGTGTAACCTTTTGAGAGTGCTTGTTTCACACAGCAGACTACTTTGAGATTCATCCAAGTTATTGGTTATATACCAGTTTGTTTACCCATTTACCCATTGGTGGATATTTGGGCTGTTTCCAGTTTTAGGCTGTTATGAATACAGCTGTTGTAAACATTCATGCATGAATTTTCATGTTGACATTAAGTTTTCATTCCTCTGGGGTAAATGCCCAGGAGTAGATTGCTGGGCTATATTTAATATATATAACTTTATTTCAAAAATGTCTTGTAATAGTAAAGTATCCCTAATTTCTCTCTTCCATCTGTTGTGTCATTTCTGTTATTCATTTCATCTGTATAAACTGTAATCATCAAATATATTGTTGCTACTGTTATTTTGAACAAACTGTTACTGTTAGATCAGCTAAGAATAAGAAAAATAAAAGTATTTTACCTTCACTTATTCCTTCTCTAATGCTCTTCATTTCTTTACATAAGTCTGAGTTTCTGACAAATACTTTTCCTTCTTTCAAGAACTTCTTTTAACATTTCTTGCAAGGTAGGTCTACTGGCAACAAATTCCCTCAGTTTGTTTGTCTGAGAAAGTATTTGTTGCTCCTTCCCTTTAGAACGATAATTTCTCAGGATAGAGAATTTTAATGTTGGTGGGGTTTTTTCTCTCAATAATTTCATTCCACTCTCTTCTTATTTGTGTGGTTTCTGAGGAGAAGGGGAATGTAATGCTTATCTTTGCTCCTCTAAAAGTATAGTGGTTTCCCCCCGCCCTGGCTTTTTTCAAGTTTTTTCTTTAACTTTGATTTTCTACTGTTTGAATATAATATGTTTAGGTGTAGTTTTTGGCATTTATCCTGGATCTGTGGCTTGGTATCTGACATTAATTTGGGGGAAATTCCCAGTCATTGCTTCAAATATTTTCTCTGTTTTCTCTTTATTCTCCTTCTGGTATTACCATTTCTTGTATGTTATACATCTTGTAGTTATCCCACAGTTCTTAGCCATTCTGTTCCATTTTTTCCCCATCTTTTTTTCTTTTTAATTTTGGAAGTTTCTAATGATATATCCTCAAGCTCAAAGATTCTTTCCTCACCTGTGTCCAGTCTACTAATAGACCCATCAGATGTCTTTTCATTTTTGTTAGTGTTTTTGCTCTTTTGCAAAGATTTGTTATTGCTGTTTTTTATTTTTTTTAATTGTTTATTTTAGATAGAAAGCACACACACATTTGAGCAGGGGGAGGGGCAGACAGAGAGATGGAGAGAGAGAATCCTCAAGCAGACTCCCTACTGAGAGCAGAGCCCAATGCAGGGCTTAGTCCCATGACCCCAAGGTCATGACTTGAGCCAAATCAAGAGTCCGACGCTCAACTGACTGAGCTACCCAGGCGCCCCAGTTATTGCTATTCTTTAGATTTCTTGGATCATCTATATAAACAGTCATGACATTTGGAAAATTAAGACATTTTATTTCTTCTTTTCCAATCTGTGTGCCTCCTATTTCTTTCTCATGCCTCATCATACTGTCTAGGACTTTGTGATGTTGATTAGGAGTTAAAAGAGTGAAATCTTTGCCTTGTTCCTCATCTTAGGGAAAAAGTATTCCATCTTTCACCATTAACTATTAGGGATTTGTTTTGTTTTGGTTTGGTTTTTTAAAACCACTTTATTGTGGTATGATCGATGTGTAAAGAGCTGTGCATATTTCCAGTATACAAGAGTATAGTGGTAGTATAGGCTTTTCATAGACGCCCTTTATCAAACTTAGTAAGCTCCTTTCTATTCCTAGTTGGTTTAGAGGTTTTTATCATGAATGGATACTGAGTTGTGTCAGATGCTTGTTCCGCATCAATTGATATTATCATGTGATTTTCTTTTTTTAGACTGTTAATATAGGTTATTACAGGGCCACCTGGGTGGCTCAGTTGGTTAAGCATCTGCCTTCGGCTCAGGTCATGATCCTGGAGTCCCAGGATCGAGTCCCACATTGGGCTCCCTGCTCAGTGGGGAGCCTGCTTCTCCCTCTGACCCTCCCCCCTCTCATGCTCTCTCTGTCTCTCATTCTGTCTCTCTCTCTCAAATAAATAAAAATCTTTAAATAAAAACAAAATATATATATAGTTTATTACATTGTTTGATTTTTCAAATATTAAACCAGCCTTGCATTCCCATGAAAAACCCGAATTGGACATGATGTGTGTGTTTTTATATATTGCCTGGACACTATGTACATTTCTTTTTCTTTTCAAAAAGTTTTAATTTTTGATTACTTACCTCAGAAATGTCAGGCTGATGAAGCATGTGAAATTAACAAGGCTTTATTTAGTCTCGGTAGCCATGAAAGAAAAATGTTTCTGAGTAAATTTGCAACATCCTGATGCAAGAGTTCATACTGATTTGAAATGTCCAAGGGGAAGAAAGAAGCAGCATGGAAGGATTTTGACTGAATGTGAAACCCAAATGCTAGAAGATCCCTATGAAGAAAAGGAGGAGAAGGAAATTAATATTTTGGAGTACTTTTTTAAAAATGAGGGGTCATTCTTTGTTTTAAAAAAAAAAAAATCTTAGGATAATTTCAAACTTACATAAAAATTGCCAGAGCTGTACGAAGAACCCCCCCATCCCCCAACTGTCAATATTTCACAGCATTTGTGGAACACCTTTACTGCTTCTATAATAGCATCTACAACCACCGCTAACAGTCGGTTCCCTAACTGCACTTGCATTACATGCCAGATACTGTGTTTGCCCCTTAGCTCACTTAATGTTCACGATCACCTGCCAGGGTGCCCATTATTACCCCTGTATCATAGGTAACACCGTTGAGGCTTAGAAAAGTTCAGGAAAACACCCCCAGGGTTTCATCGGCTAAGGGGAGCATTCAGATCCAGACCCAACTCCAAATCCCGTGCCTGTTCCAATATCCATACCATAGGCACCATTCTAATTTCAGGGACTTAAAGGTGCACATGACTAACATCCACTTGGTGCGTCTGACCCTTCCCTCATCCCATGTTTTCTATTTCAGGACCCCTCTTTTTGCTGAATGCTGAGGAGATCTCCGAGGAAATAGGGAATATGTGGAGAACGATATATAAATTGACCAAGACCCTACCTGATGTACCTGCACCCAGGCGGTTAGCAGAGAATGTGAAAGTCAAGATTGAAAAATTCAAGCAGCACATCCCCATCCTCAGCATCTCCTGCAACCCAGGAATGAAGGACCGGCACTGGCAACAGGTCCCTGTCACCGTCCACCCCTACCCAGCCCAATCCATACCCAATCTCTACCTGGTTCTGGTAGCCCTTTGGAAGGCAGGAACCAATACTGGGTCAAGCTTCTCCTTTCTGAAAGGGAGAATCTACTTGAGGCTAAAGAGGCAGTAATGGGAGGGGGGAGGGAACAGGCAGAATAGGGGCTGAAATGCCTGCCTCTTCACATGAACAGGTTGACCCTTTTTTGGGGGACCCCATTGCTGATGGTTGAGTATTGCTCCAGCCAGCGGCCGCAGAGTCTCTCCTTGTCTGCCTACCTAAGCAAATGCCTGCTCAGGGTCCTAAAGAGTGATAAGGGCATTGAATTACAGTGGGAGGGACCTTGATTTGTCCCTTAACCTAGGACAGACAAAAGAGAAAGCCACACCTTTTTCAGGGGCCTCCTGACAATGCCAGATGGTTTCTGCGTGCACTGACTCTACTGTAGAGCCTCATTGTCCAACAGGCTATGTTCAGAAATAACATTTCACTCTTCTTTCAGCCCTTTGAGTCTATAAATGAGAATAATAAATATTCTCCCTAAAAATAGTTGGGACTTTTATAAGCAGCCAAGTGTGAGGGTGATAAGTGCGGTGTGAACACTAAGCAGAAAAAAGAAAACTCACTGTGTTTCTAAAATAATCATCATATTCAAGGGCTAGCAATGGCCTTGAAACGTCCTCTACCAAGGAGTTGCTCTGTGTGGAGGTGGAGATGAGACTGGATTTCCATAGGCAGCTTTCTCTATGATTTGGCCTGGAATTCTTCTCTGGGAACCATGTACAAGACTGTAGGACAAGTCTCTGGAAGGACCCAATCTGAGAGCACACACCCATTACCTTTCAGAGAATGAAGTCTGAGCTAGGAGCATTTTGATCTCTCTGGGAATACAGAGATCTTGATACGTGAGAGATTCTGGAGTTTTCTGTAAAAAGGAACTGCTTTTAATTTCCCAGAAAGCCTTGAAGCTCAACACCTAAGCAAAGGATGTAAAGGAGGGCAGGGGAGAGGTCACCTGAGTAGACTTCTGGTCTTGTACTGCCCCAGCAGAGGGGTCTGCACTGTGACAGCTGCCCCCACTTACAGGTGCTCATAGGGTCCCTCTCCCCATGGACCTAGCCTTACTAGAACTTTGACCCATTTGGAGGGCTGGGGAGGTTGGATAGGCAAGTGGCCTTTGGTAGTGCTAGGTCTCTCCATGAGATGACACTTAAAGAAAGTGCCCTGGTCAGTGGCACATTTAAACAACCCTCCCAGGAGACTCAGAAGGCAGTCTTCTCTACCTGATGCTTCCCCTGTGATGACAATCTTCTCACATGTGGGCACTTTAAAAATCCCAACAATTCCTAGACATTCATAATTCTCATTTACAGATCACTCAGATGGACAGATTGGAAAAACTCCTTAGAATTAAAAGAGCAATAGCAGTAATAGCTCGAACATATTGAATACCAACTATGAACTAGGTATTGTGTTGTAGACTTTGTGTGGATTCCCTCATTTTATCCTCCCAGCAACCCTTTGAAGCAGGGACTATCATTGTCTCCATTTCACAGATTATAAGAAAACTGAGGCTTAGAGAGAGTAAGTAAATTGTCATGTGGCTAGTAAGTGGTGAGAGAGGGAATTGGAATCTAGATCTGTTTGACTGGGGGAAACGCGACAAGAAATATCAGGTTAAAGGGGATAGTATGCCGTAGATAAGAGTGGACTCTAGCCCCAGCATGGTGGCTCCTGAGTAATGAGCCCCTAAAGTGGAAACCCAGTGGCCTGAACAGTTAAAAGGGAGCTCAGAAAGGAGAGAGGTCACCAGATACACACAGGGCTGCCCCCACTCAGAGCCACTTCCTGCCTGCACTGTAGGTCAAACCACAGGCCACCCCAGTGATAGCCACTGGCCTGGGGAAGCCATTCTCTGCCCTGATGCCTAACTCAGGAAATCCATTTGCACAGATTCTGGCTCTGGCAGGGGACTCTGAAGGTTAAACCACCTCTAGCTCTTAAGGCTACAGGATGGATCTTCCGGGGACATAGGGTGTGGGGCAGCTGTGCTGTGGTTTTTGACCATTTCCCAGAACTTAAGCAGGAAGGGCTAGTCCCTCAGTTTGGGGCACAGACAGCAGCAAAAAGGTTGCTACTGTGGTTTAAAACAAGATGGAACAGGGTGACATTTGACCTTAAGAGGAAACCACACTGATGTGTACCAAAGCTGGCCCTCTAGGACAGTGCTGCCCAAAGAAAATACTACAAGCCATATGTCCAATTTTGAAGTTTCTTGTAGCCATATTAAAAAAAAAGCACAAACAGGAGAAATAAATTTTATGAATATATTTTATTTAACCAAACATATTCAAAATATTATTATTCAATAGGTAATCAATGTAAAAATGTTAATGTGATCTCTCACATTTTTCATACTAAGTTCTTGAAATGTGGTATGCTTTCACACTTAGAGCACATCTCAGTTTGGGCTAGTCACATTTCAAGTACTCAATAGCCACAAGAAGCTAGCGGCTCCATATTGGACAGAGCAACCAATTCTCTCTCTCTCTCATTCTCTTTGAATTAGAAAACCAGATGCTTTGTTAGTCTCTGTAATTAACAAAAGCAATTAAAAAAACCCAAAACTACCAATCTCTGAGTCTTTCCTATGGGCCAAGTACTATGCCAAGTCCTTTGCATAGTTATGTCATTTAATCCTAGAGAGAGTATGTGTTCTAAGGTGTACTTTCAGGTATTAGAGAATAAATCAAAGTCCAGGGTCACCAGGAACAGTTGTGCAGGTTGTACACTCCACAACTCTGGGGAATGCAGTTTTTGTGAACTACAGTGTGAAATGTATTTTTTAGAGTTATGCAGTGTATAACCCTCACAACTATACATAGAAGACCTGAGAGACCCACTAGATATGATGGAGAAGATCTTTTTAGGCAGAACTGGGTCCAAGTCCCAATTCTGCCATTTATTAGCCGAATGGTCTTGGACAAGATGCTTATTTTCTTTGTCTCAGTTTCCTTATATGTAAAACAGGAATAATAATACATTAGTATCTTCCACATCATATTGGGGGGATGAAATAAGTGCATAAAGTTCTTAAAACACTGCCTACTTCATAGTGGCCCTCAATAAATGTTAATTAATTCTATGATTTCCATTATCTTAGGGGTCCTCCAGGTGTCCTCAGGCCCTGCTTTCATTCCATAATAGTTACTGATGCCTATTAAATGCCACTCCTAGGGACACATGGTTAAATAAGATAGAACAGGCCCCAGCTCTCATATTCCTTCTTGCTCAGACATCCCGTAGTCCTCCTGGGGCTGGACAGAGACAAAATGGGGCAGTAGGTGAGGTTTCTCCTAGAGCCTCATTCTCCTTCAGGTCTTCCTACTCCTCTTGAGCGCATGGAATCCTCATCCTCCCCAGATCTCTCAGTCCTTGAGAGAAGTGTTCAAATCCATCAGAGACTTCACGTGAGACCTCCTTCAGGGTTATTTTCACTTAAAAAAACAAGCTTGGGGTAGTATTTACACCAAAGGCATGGGCACAATGAGTGCTAACCATTCCACCAATTTAGCATGCTGGGGTGGAAAGGAAGATATTTGGGCAGAGGGTTCCTCCCTTCCCAGCATCCTCAGATTGCAGAATTGGGGGGTCTGCCTATCCCATATACTCATGACTCTCTCCTTTTACTCAGCAAACACTTACTGCAGCTTCTGTCATAGACCAGACTTTGCACTAGGCTCTAGGAGCACAAAAACAAACCAGATCCGGTTCCACCCGACAGGGTGCTCACAAGTTGGCACTAGGCAAGTGGTGGTGGGCAGTGATCCCCAGTAAACCAGATAGAATGCAATGTGGGCCCTAGGCTGCCTCCCACATTTTTAGACCTGCACCATCCAATTCAATAGCCACTAGCTATTTACACATCTATTTGAATTTAAGTAAAACAAAATAAAAATTAAAAATCAGTTCTTCCATCACACTGGCCACATTTCCAGGGTTCAATGGCCAAATGCGACGGCGGCTACTGTAAGGGACGGTGCAGAGTAGAACATTTCCATCACCATGGAAAATCTACTGGCCAGTGCTACTACCTTGGACAATACGCATTTGTTTTCCTCTCTTTTCTGCAGATCAGTGAGATTGTCGGCTCTGAAATAAAACCCACAGAAACAACTTGCCTCTCAAATATGCTGGAATACGGGTTCGGCAAATTCGTTGACAAGTAAGACTCCTCTTCCCTGCTTGAGGAACCTTTTCAGTCAGAGTATCTGACTTCCCACAGGATATGACTGGCCTCCTATCAGGCTGTTTTTCTCCTTCTGGTTCAGGGTGACTTAAGTGTTTTTAGTAACCTCCCCCTCAAGTGACTAGCTATTGGTGAAACTCACTTTCAGTTGCTGAGTGGATGACGGATTGTGACTAGAAAATTGAGTCGAAGATTTTATTTCAAAGGGAAATTAAAAAAAAAAAAAAAAGTTCTTGGAAACTGAGCTCCAAGCCCAGGTCTCAGTGACTTCAGGTAAAACCATTTCACCTTTCTGGGCTTCGGTTTCCCCTTTTAAACAAACAACAGTAAACAGGAGTGGCTCTTTGAGCCCTTAGGAGTCCAAGAAACAGGGTCAAGTGAGAGAATTCTTCACTTGCTTTCTCCTTTTCTCCAAATGCCCCTGGAGTCTGTGTGCAGGAATCGGTGCTATTAGAATTGTTGTTTTTAGGACCAGATATTCTGAGGACTCTGATGGTTTGTCCACACCTCCTTCAGGGCTGAGGATGGGAGATGCTGTATTTCCTGGACCAGAATCCCTGTTAGACAGCTGGGTTCAGGTCTAACTCAACACACATGCTTCTCTGGGCGTGGCCCCACACCAGCTGCATCGGCGTCACCTGGGAACTTGTTAGAAATGCATGTTCCCAGGCCCCACCCCAGTCTGCTGAATCACAAATTCTGGGCATAGACCCTGAAGTCTGTGTTTTAACCAGTTTTTCAGGTCAGCACTTCCAGTACAGGAGCCACCAGCCACCTATTACTGAGCCCTTGAAATGAAACTATTCTGAGCTAGAGATGCTGGAAGTATAAACAGGGGCTGGATTTCAAAGTCTTATTAAGGGAAAAAAAAAAAAAACCAGGGCGCCTGGGTGGCTCAGATGGTTAAGCGTCTGCCTTCGGCTCAGGTCATGATCCCAGGGTCCTGGGATCGAGTCCC